AAGGACACTTAGTCCAGCAAGAGAAAAATCCGAGCCAACGCAATTATTATTTTAAAAATTTCTAAGGAAGCTTAACAAAGAACTGTAGAGCTGCAGACAAATTTAAACTAGATGGTATTGGTATGAGCTCTAAAATTGCCGTAATCCAGAGATAGTAATAATTTTTACCACCATAAAATAAAATGATTATTTTTATCACAAATAGAAAATAGTCATCAACAGCATACATGTGAATTAAGAGGTGTGTCTATTCTCCTAAGTCCCTGCAAGACCAACATGCAGCGTAGCACAGCAATAATAAGTATTTGATACGCAAGGACTGCTTTTGACAACCGCAGAGAGAGCCTGGTAGAGTTGAGCGAGTTTGAAACCATAGCTCATTTGAGATACATAAGAATGCAAAAGTGAGGTTCTATCTTTCATTCATTATTATCAAAAGAAATAATGGCCTTCATCACCTTAAACGAAATAGGTTGAATACATCTCATATAACTAATTAACTGGTAGCCCTGAAACTCTAATTATAAGGGAAAATTAAGTAATGATGTGATATTTAAAATGCCAGATGTTCCTTAAAATTCCCATCTGCCCTGTGACCTAAGGGTATTTCGTGACAATGTGTCAAAGTTAATATGATGAGTTTATACGCTGCACTGCCATGGTTCGATTTCTGCTTGGGGTATTGATAAGACCTATGCGAGGTCTAAACTGCAGCTTACCCTGGATGAGAAGAACTTTTGGGAAAGCAAGGCTCTGGGAAATTTAATGGAAATGTTGGCTCTATTCATATCATTGGGAAAAAATCCATTACCAGTCCTTTATCAACTTAAACGAAATAGGGTGAACACAACTTATGTATCAAATATTTGGCCAGAAAACCCAGCTTGGCATGCTGTCCTGAAGCTTCTGATGAAACGAACTGCTTAAAAGTAAAGCAAATCGCATATTTTAAAACTTCTATTATTCCTATGACATGATTAACAAAACATAGATCTGCCATGGATAATAGGATAAAGAGAACAAGCCCAGGTTAAAGGATGTTCAGAGTTTCTACGAAAATCACAGTCTCAGCGACGCATGCGCTTTCGAATACAAGTTACATATAGGCATAAAGATTATTTTGACATGTCCACTATGTCTTTAAATTGAAAGCGTAAGTAACATCAAATATCAGGACTGTAGCAGTCAATTCCGATTCATACTGGACCCTCTTCATATCTCAGGTGCAACCCCCAGGAAAAAATGGTATTGGTAACAGGGTATTAAAAGAAATAGATGGCTATACCTAATCTGTATCGTCTGCAGAGCAAGCATCGTAAGACATGTGGCAAGCAAAACGAGGCTACCGACAAGCAAGCTGGTGAATAGGATATCTGCTGTAAGACGAAGTCGAGCTGTCCAGCCGGCCAAGCCTCCCAGGGAGGCGGAGAGAAGAAGAGAGAGGGAGGCCGAGGCTTTGATGTATGGAGCAGCAGCCATGCTGTTTTCAGCTGAGGATGACGAATCGACAGAAGCACCAATGCTAACAGAAGGATTAAATTCAGCGGAAGAAGCTTGCACCGAATCAGCGACCGAATCCAGAGGGGATAGTTGGGGGTTGCTAATAGACAGCGGGTCACTGAATATAGAAAAATACACCCGGTTAGATAAAGCAAGCAGAAATAGAATAAATCATGTATAAACAATATATTCTTCCAAATATTATATATTTCTATCAAACCGATTGTGTAAAGGAACTCGAAATATTTGAAATTTTTTATCATTCCACTGATTCAGGTCTGTGGACAGAGATATTAGTAAGGGCCAAAAGGAGTATTTTGACGAAGCTCTAGTTAAATTTTGAAATACTTTCGGCATGTTAGATCATAAAACTCTTCCACTTTTTTGCCTATCTTCGCACATACATTAGGATCTTATGTAAATAAGAAGACTTTGCAAATCAGCATCAAATTAAATAGGTTACAAAAAATACTTTAGGAAATAGTTAAAATCTAGTTGATTCATGCCTCACTTGGCTTTACTTTTAATGGCAGGCTTGTAACTTAATAGGCTTTGCACTCCTAACGCGAAAAAGTGTCAGTAAAGTGCAGTTTATAGATGAAGAAAATTAGAATAAAAAAGAGTGAAATTGGACGCTTTTAGATCCAGAATTATGGGCAGTTAGCATCCGGAAGGCCAGGGTTAAATATAGAATATATGAATGAGTTCCAATCAGTACATGATTCACCTAAATTCCGAATCCATAGATTGTGTGGAAAGTTGGATAGCTTGAAGAAGAGCCAGGTGGCGACCGCCTAGAGTAATATTATAAAGCCTCGCTAGCAATGGCCAGAGATGAAAGGCCATTGCTTGCCATAACTGCTGCTCCCAAGGAGCCGGAGCAAGGCGCAGGCGTTCCGCTGTGGCAGGGTCCAGGGAGAAAGGGTAGTTCATCAGAAACTGAGCGCCACTGACTACAAGACGGCGAGGAGAAGCAGGCGTAAGCGAAGAGTTATTTGTCTGCTCTGAATGATTGTCGAAACCGGACTCTACAGAGGCGGAGGAAAATCTGACACTCTCATTTTGCTGGGGCCACGACAGAATAGAAGAATGTCTAGGTTGAGGTGGCTGAAGGGTTTCGATGAAGAGGTCAGAAGTAGTTTGCAAGCCCGATAAATTATGCATATGGCCAGACAGAGGCGTTGACGTATCATCAGTAAACGAGGCTGTATTCTCATGAATCATTTTTTTGTTTAAAAGGTCGAGCGCCATTTTTGACTGATTACAATAAAGAATAAAGAGATCGGTTAAACTAATTTGCTTAATAAGTCGACGGTGAATGTGTGACATTTAGCGAAGCATGAATAAATTTTGTGGAGAATAAATAAAGTAACTTAAGTGAGACTAGATAGGACCATAGGACCTGTTGTAAATATAATTTAAGGATAGCCTTTGATTAATGTCTAATTCGCGAGAAATACTTTTATAACAACTGCTTTTCGAGGAATTTCTTGATATATTAGTTTGGACTTGACTTTCGTTTCGATTAATAGTGAATGATGAAGAGGCGTAACCCCATCTTTGTGCCCCAATATAGATAGATTTGGTAAGAAAACACTCACAAACTTACATAAATACTATTACTTGAGTAGTTTTTTGGCAAATAAGATGTCGAAGAATTATCGGATTAATTTTCTTAACTCGTTAAGGGCTTGAGGTTCAAATAAGAGTATCATGTAGTAGTTTCTGTCATATAAGGAATAAAAGCTTAGTGTGCTATAATCAGAAACAAAAGAGGGTGTCTAGAGAATTATATCCTGCAAAATGCAAAGGAAAACAAAATAGGGGAAGTAATCATTTTAAGTCAATATATTCTTAAGATATCATAAGTAGAAGAAATACTGAACTATACAAATCAGAAATGAATCAAAGCTAGTCAACAAACGAAAATTTTAATAGCAATTTGTAAAACACTCAAATTCGTAAATCCCCATCCAACAATGTGAATTGATACTAATAAGAGCTATCAAAAGGTATCAGGAACTTTACTGCCGTCGAGTGATACCAGTCTTGATTGGTCTTTTGTTTTC